GCAGCTGTGTTTACACAAGACTGCTGGTGAAAACACCAACTGCCCATATTGTAGAAGCAAAATGTTCCAGTTGCCTTTGAAGATGCTGGTCCTTTTTCCTTCTGAATCTGTCTCCTTCCCAGGCTCTTTCACTGCCTTGTCCCAGTAAATAGCCAGCACGTGTATGTTAAATTTTTTTTATTTTTATATTCCCCATAGAATTGCAACCCCTTATTTTGACCCCAATCCCTCCTTGCCCCGCAAACCCCCCCCCCCCATAGTGTGTCTCTGGTTCATAGTTGTTTGTTGATTTTGATTTTTTCTTTCTTATAGTTATTCTTTTTCCTGGTCCCCTATTTGGGTTTTCTAGATTCCTACTATGAGTGAGACCATCCAGTATTATGTATGTTAAATTATTAACAAGTAAAGAAGTTATTTGTTTCAGGCAGTCAGATTTAGTTCCTCTGCAGTTTAAGAAGTTATATTCTGTATTTCAAACTTTTCCTAGCTTAAAAGGGGAGTTTTGTAAATGAAGGTCTATGAAGAATGGTAATACTAAGGTCTTTTCCAGAACGTATCTAAAATTCTAGTACTAGGTTAGCTTCAATAACTACATCTGTATAGTGCTTTACAGACACAATCTCAAATTACACCACTGCAGGTTTTCTGTATTTTAAAACCAATGCATAAGACCCTATATTTATCCCTGTTAAATGTCAGCTAGTTGGATTCCAGCCTGCCAGGATCTGTTTGGATTCTAAGTTTGTCACTGAACTTTGCTATCCTTGCTCTACAGCATCCTTCTTCACCCAGCCAAGAGTGGCTATAATCCCTCCACGGCACAGAGGCCACCAACAAGAGAAGCAGCAAGAAGTGGAGAAGAGACTGAAAGCAGTAGATTCAGTGAAAAAGCAAAGGAAAGAGAAACCAGGAAGGGCAGGGAGATGAAGAAATACAGGATGGGGTAACTGGAGCCAGCAACCATTGCCTCAGGAGGCTATTTTAAAAATACAATCAAATACATGCTGTGATTGATACGAGATCTTAAGAGAAAATATAGTAGGATTGTTTCAAAATTTTTAAAAGATATATGATTTCTCTAAAAGGATTCTTGTGGGGAGAGACCAGGATTGAAGAGAAGGCTTTCAATTTCATTTATACTCTACATTTGGGCCTATTTTTACCATGTGAATGTATTACTTTAGCTTGTTCCAGACAGGTTTTTGCCCCAGCCACAGATGTGCACTACTTTCTTAAGAATTTTTGGTTTGGGTACATGATTAGGTTAAGGTGAGGCAGAGAGAAAGCAAATTCAGTGGGACGTGTGGGAATGTGCCTAATAAGGTAGACTACAGCAAATCAGTTCAGTAGGTTAAAGGGAAGCATCCAATGGCATGGAGCACAGAACTCCTAACTCTGATAAGCCAAGGACAGCTTTTAGAGGTATTTAAGCAGATCCCAACCAGAAGGCTAAGCTGCCAATGTGAGGAGTGAGGGAAAGAATTGTTTTGGAAAGAGGCAGCAGCATGTGCAAATGCCCAGACTCCAGAGGAGTTTGAAGGGCAAGAGGGCTGAGCAGAATGCTGGATTAGCTGAGAAGGGCTTTACAGGTACTTCAGAGTCTGATATTTTTATCCTGGAGGGAAGAAAGACCCATTCACTTATGAACTTCAATCAGATGTTTACCCTTTGAGATTTTATTGCTTGTGTGCCACAGAATGGACCACAGAATGGACCACAGCAGGACAAAACTAAAGGCAGATTATCAGAGACAGTACAGCTAACTAGGTGACAAATGTGGCATAGTTCAAGGCAGTGGTGGCAGAATAATGTCAAAAATAAACTGGAGGAAGAACCAACAAGATAGGTAGAACCCATGACTGACCTGCCTGGAAATGGAGAGGGCACACATTGGGGGAGAAAAAAGAATCCTATTTATGAATATGGTATGTCTGAAGAACCTACACATCATCCAATGGCTTTCTCCAACAGATAGCTATCATAATGGCAATAAGAGCTAACAAGAACACAGGGCTTATTAAGTATCAGACACTGTTCAATATTTTACACTATCACATTCATTATTTCATTAATAATTGATAATGATTCATTATATCATTATCACAATAACTATACAAATGAAGGGATGGAGGCATAAAAAAAGGTTACAAAAGTTTTCCAAATTAACATGGCCAGTAAATCGAGATTCAAATCCTTCATTTGGCTTCAGTCTGTGCTCTTAACTACAGTATGCCATTGCATCTTCTATGTGCAGTTCTAAGGCTTAGCAAATATACATGATCTGCCTGGGAACACAGAGTTGGGCATACACACACAAATCACCCTATACGACATACTGAATGAAAACACAAAGGGGCTCAAGACAGACTCCCAAGTTCATGTAAGGAAAGCGGGGCATGGACAGAAAGACCAGCAGACTGTGGTAGCAAAAAGTAACAGAGCACGATCCTGAGGAGACAGGCACAGTGTCAGCTGTGGCTGGGAAGTCAGGGAATATATTTGTCATGGTAGTAGGACTGAGTTTTATTATTTATAGCAGGGGCTGGCAAAGTACAGCCTGTTTATGTACGGTACAACCCATAAATGGACTTTACATTTTTCAGAAGGGGAAAAATAGGTGACAGAGACAATTAAGTGACCCTCAAAGCCTAACATACTATCTAATCCTTTACAAAAATGTCTGCATGATGACTAGATTATTGAGGAACAAAAGGGAAGTGATGGAGAGGTAAAGCTATTCTCTCACAAAGTCTGGCCATGAGGTAGAAGCTTCAAAAGGACAGAAAAGAAGTATGCTGTAAAAGTGGAAGAGAGATGAGCGTGGTTAAAACAGGAGAAGTCACTGTGAGAGGATGTATGAAAATCAGCAAAGAGAAGAGGCTACTGAACAAGGCCTAGTTAAAGGAGGGAGGGATATAGCAGAATCCAGAACACAGACAAGAGAAAGAACTCCATATTGGAAGTAACAGGAAGGCAGGGAAGGGTGACTACAGAAAGTTTGTGAGGTTGCAGGCAAGAAGGTGAGGAACAATCCAGCTTATGACTTCCATTTTCTTCAGCTATTGGCAGCAAGGGGGAGTGGCAAATCAGGGATCTCAGGTACATATAAAAGTTTAGAAATTTCTGCAGCAAAGAGAGTGTGCAGACTAATAAGCAACTCATCACTCAGTTAATGCTTAGTGACCACAAACTAGAGTTCCATCTATACAGCCTGTACACCTCAAGCCACAGTATCATCCAGATAATACTTTACATCCCTTCCCTTCAAGACATTATGAACTTTGATGGGAAATTAAAATGCTTTATGGCTTCCCTGCCTTTTGAAAAGAACAAAGTTTGTGGCTAAAGCTCAGGTTTTGGAATCAGAGACCTGTTTTAGAGCTCAATCTGTCGCCAGATGTATAATTATATCTGAACTATCTAAACTTTCTGTGCTTCAGTTATCATGAGAATTAAATTAAATGAGATTTATAGAATACAAAGTACAGTTCTGAACAAGAGAAGTAGTAATTCAATAGATGATAAATTGTTACTATATTATAATTAGCAGGCGTACTAATATTTTGCTATTTCATATTGTTCACAACAGGCTCAGCTTAGTGGTAAAATGGAGTCCAGGGCCTCCCCAGTGGCTCAGCCAGTTGAGGGCAGCGGATTGAGTGCTGCGCTGTGAAGCTGTGCACAGCCTCTGCAGTGCAGGTTTGATTCCCAGCCGGCCAGGGAGACGCAGCAGACCTCTCCTGTCTCGCTCACTGCTCCCCTCAGCAGGGTTTTCCATCTGTCTGCTTGTTCTGCTCCCTGCTGTCTCCGGTGAATTCTCTCACTCTCCCACGCCTCTGGCCTGTCCCCTAGTTCTCGTCTAAATAAATAAATCCTAAGAAGAAAAATTACAATGGAGTCCAGAGAGATGGGATGCTCTGACCTCCATACAGCCCCAGTTGAATCATGAACCAAGTGACCCTGAAAGGACATTAGGCATCAAGTTTCTAACCTGCAGCATGAGGGGATTTGACTGGTCACTATAAGCAGCCCAGGGTCTTTCTCATTTGCATATAGGGTTAAAAGTATTCTGTTGTGAAAACATGACCACCTAATTCCTTGCTACAGAGCTTTGTGGTATGAACCCAGCTTTCACTTCTGAATAACTGAAGACAATTCATTTATTTAACATCTTTGTGCCTAGTTTTCCTCATCTAGAAAACAGAGAAGTTAGTCATGTGTGTTTTATGGGATTGAGATAACTTAACATAAAGCATTTAGGAGAGAGCAACTGGCTATAACTCAACCAGTCTCAACTCCTCACTGTAAAATATCACCCTTCGCAGTGACACGTAGGTGATGTCAGTGCAGCACTTTGCACAGTGCCTTTACCCGACACGGTGCCCCTGTCCAACAAAGGCAGCCGATTTTTAATTTCCTGAAGTTAACTATATAAGGAGCGTTACAGAAGGGAACCTCACTAGTAAGATAACTTCGCAGGAATGACTGTACTGGAAGGGTCTTAGTAAAACACACTATAATAATATTCCTCTTCGGTCACACAATTTGAGGATACTCCCTCTCGTAGGCACCCAGTGACCCAGGTGGCCAACAGACACCAACTCCCGTGTAAGCATTTTGCAAAGCGCATATTTAGGATTAGACGCAGATCTTTAAAGTGTGGGGCTACAGTATACGCGCACTGCCAGTCAGTCCAGTTAAATGGGAACGTTTTCGGTGGCCCCTCCAAGTCTCAGCCAAACAAGAACAGCACCCGACAGCGACCATCCTGCGCCGACAGTCCTCACCACATAACGGGTTCGGCCCCCAGCACACCTGACGGGTCCGCGCGCGCGGGCCGCGGCACCCCACGCTGCACGCGCCGGTCGGCCCCACCGAGTCCAGGTCCGGGGCCAGGGCGGGTCAGGGGCTCCCGCCGGGTCCAGGAAAGGCGAGGGGTCCTGGAGCGCACGACCCGCCCTGGGTCCCGGCTGGACTCGGCGCCCAGGCACGGGGCTCACCTGGAAGTGCTCCTGAAGGCGGATGGGAAGCACCTGCGCCATGGCGGGGCGGCCTCGGCGGCGGCGGCTCCCCTCGCGCGGGGCCCCGGCACACGCGCCACCGGGAGAAGAGCGGCCCGCGCCAGGGCGGCCCCCGCGCAGGCGCACGGCTCGGGCCGGCGCCTCCCGCGCTCGCCGCCGCGCCCTCGGGCCGGGATCCCTCCGCCCGCCGCCTGAGGCGGCGAAAAGTAGCTCCGCGCTCGGCAGCCCTTTCAGGAAGAACCAAAGTGCTGGGCAACTCCCCAGCGTGCGGGGGAGCGGGACCGCGGCGGCGGGGCGGGGCGCAGTGCGGGGGTTGCCAGCGCGGCGTGCGCGGGGCCGTGACCTCAGTCCGCGCGGCTGCCCCTGAGGCCCAGAGCGGGCCGCGCGGGGAGGCGGCCGTGGGCTGCAGCTGGGGGCCCTCAGTGCAGGTGCCGCGCTTGGGAGCCGCGCCGGGCTGCGCTCTGCGAGTTCTCCGAGTGAGGGGTTTTCGAGAGAGGTAGATCAAGTCACAGGCTGCCCTTGCGTGGGGTCTTCCGTGTGTGAACAGCTCTCAGATTCTAGGCCGTTGAGTTTGGCGCCCTTCAGCAGGTGGAGTGGAGGACTGTAAACTAGACAGCTGAGTTTGGGGACTTGTGTTCTGTTGTTTTGTTCTATCATGAATGTACCAAAAACATTTCAGAAGGAGTTTCAGGAGTGTGTGTGACAGGTGCTTTTGCCCACGATTCAGCCTTCCCCCTTAGCTCCCCGCCACCCCACCCCCCCCAACACACCGTAGGAAACATCTTCCCTGGCTCATAGGATTTGTAAAAGTACTGTGTCAAAAAATATCACTGCTCGTCTGGTCGCACAATACAACAGGGCCAGAAATAGAGCCCACAACTGTATCGCCCACCTGTCCCTTATTTTCTGAGGTGCCATATGAAGATGTGCTTTGCATGCTTTGAAATAGGAAGGGTCCTGGGGCAAGACGGGCATTTGAGAGAGGTTGCCCTGGTATTTGGGACGCTTTTTCCTGAGGAGCAATTCCAGAGAAGTAGCTAAGAAGCCAGTATTCTGAGCAGCACTTTTAATACCCACCTAGCCTTAGAAAGGTAAAGTTTGGAGTCAGGGAACCCCAAGGAGGTAGCCTAGTGTATTATTTTGAGACCACAGATTGTTTGAGACTCCATTTAAAACATGTCATTTCTTGTCATCAAAAAGAGAGAAGCCTCAAGTTATTTCTACAGTTGTTCGTTTGCAGTAATCAGCACTCAGTGAAAAGTAAATTGGCATCCAAGGAAATAAGACAAATGATTATAAACCAAAAGTAATAATGACAGATGTATAGTGGATCCAGATAATGGAGTTTTCCCAAAAAACGTTTAAATTACTCTGCTTAATGTCGTTGGGTGGGTGAAACACAAGGGGCTTGACCTGTAACTTATTTAGGCTGGTTGGATGATAGCAGGTATGATTTGAACAGACGCTTAAATACCCTGCACTCTCGTATTTCTGTTCTGGCTATGAGTATTTCTGTTCTGGCTATGAGTCCCCAATAAGCGCTGCTTTTTCTGATCAAAGTTCTGAGTGCAGCATCTAGAGCAGACCTGAGCCCAATATGAAGTCTGGGTACAAGATTAGCCAAGATAATCTAAACCCCAAATGACCCAAGGACCTGTGAGGGGGGGGGAGCAAAAAGTTATAAGCCTCAGAGATGTTAGAGATGTTTGTTATGTAGCATTTTTGTGGTAGCAATGACCAATACAGAATTGGAACCTGGAAATTATATACTTTTGTAATTTGAAAAAAAAAAAAGCAGAAATAGGTAATATTGCTTTGGGATCAGGTGTTGGGTATTACAAAACTGTTACACAAAGCTTAAACAAAGAGAAAGTCTAAAACTGATTATTATTGACTCCAATGGAAGCAAACAGGAAAAAAAAAGAGAAAATTAAACACAAAGCAGAAGAAGTAAGTAGAAGGGGTAAGAACAGAAACCCATGAACTAAAATATAGAAAAATAAGTAATATTTGGTTGTTTAAGCAGTTCAAGAAACTGATAAAAATCTAGCCAGACTGATCAGGAAAGGAGGTAAGAGGGCAAAACCAAGCATAAATCAGAGATTGACATCCCTATAGATACTACAGATCCACATAGAAAAGTTGGGATAGTTTAGTTATGCAAATTCAAGTTAGAAGTATATCAGGTTCTTATTGTTAGTCCACTATGTAAATCAGGTTCGTGCATGTTGGTGCAATAACATGCAAATCAGGTGAAAAGTGAGTTGAACAGTAATGATTGGTTAAGTTTCAATTCTGGGTGGTCTGTGGCAGGCTGCCTTTGTTTCAGTTCCTTCCAACAGCTGGATGTATCTGAATATGCCTGAACATGCCTAGATATGCCTGGGTCCTGAACTTCAACAGTCTCCTAACTCAAATAACTCCAAAATGTTTCATATTTCTTGTCAAAACTTAAGAGTCAGTGCTGGAAAAAATTAAGGCTTTTTGAGTTGATGAGATGGGATGAATTTATTTTGCATGAGGATGGTAATGTTGTAGGGACAGGTAGAATGATATGGACTGGATGTTTGTATTCTCCAAAAATCATTTTTAAATTGAGTTAACATTGGTTTACAACATTTGTGATTTAGGGGTATAGGATCTCCCCCTTCAGGTATTATTACCACACCATACCCACAACCAAAATCCCCATAGGCCTCCACCATAGTTGATTGTGCTCCCACCCACTTTGTTCTTTCCCTTCTGCCTCCTATTCTGATATCCTTAGTTCTATAGCAGATTTCTAGGGTTGGTTATAGGTTTGGTTTTTATATAGTCCTTCATTTTGTTTCTTTATATTCCACATATAAGTGACATCATCTAGTATTTGTCTTTCTCCTTTGGATTTATTTCACTTAGCATAATGCCCTCCAGTTCCATTCATGTTATTGCAAGTGGCCAGAGTTCATTTTTTTTTATTCCTTTTAACCGCTGAATAGTATTCCAGTGTGTGTGTGTGGGGGGCATGTAAGTAGTTTCCCTAACTTGCCTATTGCAAATCAGGTTATAATGAACATAGTAGTATATCTATCCTTCAAATTAGTGTTTTTGTATTCTTTGGGTTGACACCTAGGAGTGGAATTGCTAGGTAGATAAATTATTAATGTTTTGAGAAAATATTATGTAAAACATAATGTAGAACATTTCTGTTTGGTTGCAGTGGGAATGCTATTACCATTAGTTTTTTTCTCACTGTGGGGTTTTTATTTACTTATTCTTTAATTAAAATTTGATTTACAAAATGATATAAATGTCAGGCATGTCTTCACATGTGTGTATAAGCCTACCTAACCTCACCCATCAGTAAGTTCTAGTGTTCTTCCCACTATCAATCAGGTTGATTGTACCCTCCCCCTTCTTTCTGGTAGTGTATTTATCACAGAAACTATTTTTTCAAAGAAGTTAAGAGTTGTTTTTTATTGCGATTTCTTAGTTCTTTTAATTTGGTTGTTTGTATTCCGTATATGAGAGAAATCATCCAGTAATTATCTTTCACTTTCTGACATTTCATTTGCCATAAGCACCTCAAGTTCCATCCATGTTGTCACAAAAGACAAGATTTCTACATTTTTAATAGCTGAGACATATTCCATTGAGTATGTACACCACAACTTTTTTATCCAGTTATCCATCAATGGGCATACCATTAATTATTTTTTTATTTTTAAAAGATGTATTATAATTTTTTAATTTTATTTTTATATTCCCCATAAAATTGCAACCTCCTTATTTTGACCCCCTTCCCTCCTTTCCCCACGCCCCCATAGTGTGTCTCTGGTTCATAGTTGTTTGTTGATTTTGATTTTTTCTTTCTTATAGTTATTCTTTTTCCTGGTCCCTTTTTTAGGTTTTCTAGATTCCTGCTATGAGTGAGACTATCCGGTATTTTTCTTTTTCTTTCTGGCTTATTTCACTGAGCATGATCCCTTTCAGCTCCATCCATGTTGCTGCAAATTGCACGCGTTTATCTTTTTTGATTACTGAGTAATATTCCATTGTGTATATGTTCCACATCTTCTTGATCTAGTCGTCTATTTTTGGGCATTTGGGTTGTTTCCATAGCTTAGCTATTGTAAATTGTGCTGCTATAAACAGAGGGGTGCAGGTGCTCTTTGGAATTACTGTTTCTGTGTCATTTGGGTAAATACCTAGGAGTGGAATTGCTGGATCATATGGAAGCTCTATCTTTAGAAGGCTGAGGAATCTCCACACAGCTCTCCATAGTGGTTGGACCAGTTTTCACTCCCACCAGCAGTGCAGGAGAGTTCCTTTTTCTCCACATCCTCGCCAACATTTATTGTTGCTAGTTTTTTTAATATGTGCCATTTTCACTGGTGTGAGATGGTATCTCATTGCAGGTTTTGTTTTTTTTTTTTTCTTTGCTGGGACCCTCGCCAGCGGCCAGGGAACAAACCGGTGCTACAGAGGCTGTGGGCAGCCTCCCAGCCCAGCACTCAACCGCTGCCCCACCAGGGGAGGCCCCTCATTATAATTTTGATTTGCATTTCCCTGATTGCAAGTGATGTTGAACATTTTTCATATGCGTGTTGGCCATTTGTATTTCCTCTTCAGAGAAGTTTCTTTTTAGTTCTTCTGCCCATTTTTTTGAATGGATTATTTACTTTGTTTTTGTTGAGTCTCATCAGCTCTTTGTAGATTTTTATGATCAGTCCTTTATCATGAGTGTTGTGTGTAAAAATTTTCTCCCAGTCGGTGGGGTTTCTCTTTGTTTTGGTTATTGTCTCTTTTGCTGTGCAGAAGCTCTTTAATTTGATGTAGTCCCAGCTGTTGATCTTTGCTTTCACTATCACTGCTTTGGGTGATGTGTCTGTAAAGATGTCTTTGAGATACATGTCATGTAGTGTTTTACCTATATTTCCTTCTGTATATTTTATAGTTTCAGGTCTTATGTCTAGTTCTTTAATCCAATTAGAGTTGGTTTTTGTGCATGGTGTGAGGTAGTGGTCAAGTTTCATTCTTTTGCATGTAGCAATGTAT